GGAGGGAAAATCCGGAGCGGGAGGAGCGGTGCTGGTGAAGGGACCCCCCGCGCCGGGGAGCGACCCCGCGCCCTGTCCCGTGCCAGTGCTCACCGCAGGCTCTGCCCTGGGAGTCCAGCAGGATCCTCTCCACTGGTGCCTTCCCAAACACGTTGCCTCCGGCTTTCCGGATCACGGAAATGGTGTGGAAGGCGATTTCCCCAGAGCCGCCTTTGGGGTACCACGCACCGCGGAGGAAGTGGTTCACCAGGATGCTGTGTGTGGAGAAGCTGACCTTGGAGGGGACCACACCTGGAAAAAGAGGCAGCCAAGGTGGGTTTGGGCCAAATCACGGGTTTGGGGCTTATCCTAAAGGGTTTAGCACGAGGAACACCATAGACATGACACTGGGAAGAAGGAGGGATGCAGGTGAGGAACTTGGAGGAGCGGGGAGGATGTTGGGCACGGGTGTCCCCGTGGCAAAGCCTGCGGTCACCAACCCAACCAAGTTGTGACGGACCACGAGCAAAGCCCTGGGCGATGGGATGGAGGCAAGGGGGAGGTTCGGGGGTTCCAAGTGGGGACATTCCCTTGTACAGGACCGATGCTGCCCTACTGGGAAGGTGAAGGACGTGGAGGGAATGAGATGGAGACAAGCAACAGGGACACGTGGATAACCCACCGGTGACTTGGAGACAAGGATACTGGTGGAGCACCCACCACGCAGCAGCCCTCCCCCACACACCTCCCGAGGGCATGGGAAAAAGGGGGTTCTTGCCTTTTTTTTTTTGTTTCTAAAGGGTTTGACGCCACCTTGGAGCCTCCTGGTCACCTACCATAGGTGGGGAAGAGGTAGCTGAGGACAGCCCGGAGCTCGGGGTTGGGGGTCAGACCCTCCACCACCTCCTTGAGGCTGCGCGAGGCCATGCGGGAGAAGGAGCAGAAGCGCGGGAGGAGCCCGGACCAGCACAGGAGCCTTGCCAGGAACTGCGGGAGCATCTTCAGGATGCCGATCAGCACAACCCCACGGCTGGTGCTCTGCGGGGGGAGCGCGGGGTCAGCGGGGCCACGCTTGGGACACACCCCAAAGTACTTTTTTCCCCTTAAATTCACTGCTGGGCATCCTGGGGAGCTGTGGACAAGGGGAGCGCTGGCTCCCCAAAGAAGCTTCCCCCCCAGAAATCTCCCTTCAAAAAAGCTCCCCCTAAAAAAGCTCCCTATAAAAACTCCCCCAAAAAAGCTCTCCCCCAGTCAGAAAAACTCTGCTCAAAAGCTCCCCCATAAAACTCCTCCAGAAAGGTCCTCCCAAAAAACTCCCCCAGAAAGCTCCATAAAAAAAAGGTCCCTCAAAAAATGTCCCCCCAGAATATCTCCCCAAAAAGATTGTGACGCTGGGGTTTTGAGGCAGGAAAGGGTGACTTTGGATGTGTTCCCCAACACTTTTGGGACAAGGCCATTATTCCCTGGGGATGCCCAATATCTGGGTGCCAGGGGGTTTCCCCTCTTTGTGTGATCCTCCAGATCCAAACCCCCTTGTTTTATCCCACCTGGATGCTCCTCTACCTTCACCAGCCGCTGGAACTCATCGATGGCCGCAGCTTCCCCGGGAAACTGCTCCTTCAGCTTCTGGAAATATTCCTGCTCCCCAGAGTGGATGTGGTAGGTCCTGCCATCGTCCTGGGGGTCCCCCAAAACCACGGTATCGTAGACAGTCGGGAGCCGGGCCCACTCCAGCTGCCCATCCGTCAGCTGGTCCATCAGGAACCGCATCAGGGAGCTCTCCTGCATCTCCCCCACGTAGTGGATCCCTAAAAGAGACATTTTACTGTTTCTGTCCTCTTTTTTTCTTTATTTTTCCTTTTTCTTCCTTTATTTTCCCACTCCAGGATGCACCGAATGCACCTCTTGTTTATCCATCCCCTCCCCATCAACTCCATGTGGAAGGGAAAGGTAAAATCTGGGATACACTTGAGGTGAACAGTGCTCGCCATCACATTTTTATTTGGGAATCTGGGGAATTTTGTTACATTTTGGTATTTTTCCTGTTTTTTTCCACCCTGGGATGCACAGGACCCTCCTCTTGTTTTTCCATCCCCACCTCTGCAGCTCCCTATGGAAGGGAAAGGGAAAATCCGGGATACACCTGCCTCCCACTTGGGGTGGACGCTGCTTGCTGTGGTGTTTTTAATTGGGGATTTTGTTACACATTGTGATTTTTCATCTCTGCTGTAAATAATTAATCCTCTGGGAATACATAGAGCTGGACTTTGCCTCACTGCGAGGAGTTTTCCAGGGAGGTGTCAAGTTTGTCCTAAGGTGATATTCCTGGTGCTGAGAGTTCCATAGGGGCTGGATATGGGGAATTCAGGGGGGTTTGGTGTCCTTCAGCCAGAGAATTTTGGGGTGAAGAGCAGGCTTGTCTCACACAGGGTGGGTGCTGGGGCCCCCTTATCTGACCCCCAGTGGGTGTGATTCCCACCCCGAGTGTGTCCCAGCCCCCTCCTTTGGATCTGGGGGGGGATTTTGGAGCCCCAAATCGTACCGGTGTCAAACTCGAAGCCCTTCTCGGTGAAGGTGTGGCAGCAGCCCCCCAGCTTCCCGTGCTGCTCCAGCACCAGCACCCGCTGGCCGGTCTTGGCCAGGAGCGCGGCCGCCGCCAGCCCCCCCACGCCGCTGCCCACCACGATGGCATCGAGCTGCGGGGGCACCTTCTCTGCCGAGAACACTGCGGGGACAGCGGGGTGTCAGCAACGGGGGCACCCCTGGGGCACGGGGCACCCCCAAAACCACGGCGAGGGGGTGGCACCCAGGGGGTGATGCCAGGCTGGGGGGTGTCACCCTCGGGGGGTCACACTGACACAGGGGTGACTCCGACGTTGGGGGGACAATGCCATGTTGGGGGGCTTCAGACTGACCCCACCCGGGGGGAGCAGTGCCACCCTGGGGGGGTCATACTGACACGGGGGGGGACTCCAACAGTGGGGCGATGACAATGCCACACTGAGGGGTGTCAGACTGACACAGGGGGTGACACCACCCGGGGGGACAATGCTACCCTGGGGGGTCATACTAACATAGGGGGGGACTCCGGCGCTGGGGGACAATGCCACCCTGAGGGGGTTCAGAGTGACAGAGGGAGTGACCCCACCCGGGGGGGGACAATGCCATCACCCTGGGGGGGGGTGTCATACTGACAGAGGGGGGGACTCCACATGGGGGCCGGGACAGTTGCCACGCACGCTGGGGTGGCATTTTCAGACTGACACGGGGGGCTGACGCCACCCGGGGGGACACAATAACTCCCTGGGGCGTTGATGCTGCCCCCGGTGGAGATGCTGCCCCGGGGGGCCACGACAGCCCGGGGGGTGATTCCGCTCCAGTGGCAATGCCGGGGCGATTAATGCTACCCCGGCGGGTGACACCGCCCTGAGGGGCCAATGCTGTCCCCGGGGTCGATGCCCGTCGGGGGTCCCGTACCTGTCTTGACGACGCTCCTCCGCACAGCCTTGTCGGTGACGAGCGGCCCGGGCGGGCGGCGGCTGTCGGCGGCGAAGGGATTGCGGCCGCCCGAGACTTGTGGGAACAGGAGGAAGAGGACCGGGATGAGGAAGAGGAGGAGGAGGACGAGGAGAAGGAGGGGGACGAGATAGAACAGGACCTGCAGCCACATGTTGCTGAGCCGTCCGGCGGAGCGGGAGCCGGGAACAGCGGGAATGGGAATAACAGGGGCGAGGGGGACAAGGCCGATAAGGACGGTGGAAAAGGGGCACGGCACCGGCGCTGGGCGGGAGGACCGCGGGAGGGGCGGGCGTTGGCACTGGGAACTGGGAGCTGGAACTGAGTCACGGAACCGGTTACTGGGGGCGGGCACTGGGATTCCTGGAGCTGGAACCAGGAAGCAGGCAGTGGCTGCTGGGCAAGCTGCACTGGAGCGGGAACTGCAAGCAGGACGGAGGCACTAGGCACTGGGCACTGGGAGCCGGCACTGGGCACTGGGAGCCAGCACTGGGATAGGGAGTCACAGAGTCACTTGGAGTTGTCACAGGGCACTGGGAGCTGGGTCCGGGAACTGGCACTGGGCACTAGGAGATGGGAAGGGGGCACTGGGAGCTGACACCGGGAGCTGGTAGTGGGATACTGGGAGTTGGGAGTGGCACTGAGAGCTCGGACCGAGCACTGGGAGCTGAGGCGGGGTACTGCTCCCGGGGACCGGCCACCCCCGCCCCAGCGGCCTTTGTAGCCCCGCCCCACCTGGTCCGCAGTGCCCCGCCCCCGACCAGAGGTACCGCCCTCTTGGCATGGCCCACCTGCCCCCGGCATAGCGGCCCGCCCTCTGGCCCGCCGTCTCGCTTCCCGCGTCTGGCGCCCTCGCGCGCCCCGTGCACCGTCGCGCGCGGGTGCACGCCGGGAGTTTTGTAGTCCCTTGTCTCTCCCAGCCGAGTGGCGGCGGGGGACTCCAGCTCCCAGGCGTGCCAGCGCGGGCGCGCCTGCGCACTGCGGCGGCGCCGGCCGGAGGGCAGTCCCGCAGGGGGTCAGGGTGGGAACGGGACCCCCGGAAGGGGCTTTGGGGGGCGCTGAAGGGTCGAGGGGAGCCGGGGCGGGCTCCCTTGGCGGGACCTAAGGAGGGGATCTGGGGGGGGCTGGGAGGAGACCATGGGGGTGCTCCTGAGGCGGCTGGAGGGGCACTGGGGAGGGCCAGGGAAGGCTCCTGAGGGTGCCCGCGGGGGGCTTGGGGGTGCGCGGAGTGGGCTCCTGCGGGGCCGGGGTGGTCCGCTGGGGGGGCTGTCAGGGCTTTCCAGGACCTCCTCCCCACCTCCTGATCTCCGCCCCGCTTCCTAAGCTCCCGCAGGGGCATGAAGCGGCGCCGGGGGCTGCGGGCGGCCGGAGCAGCCGGCGGAGCGGGCGTCCTGCCCGTGCGTGTCCGGCCGGAGCCCCACGGCCGAGCCCCCGGGGCCTCCTCACCTCAGGGGTTCCAGCCCCCCATTCCCCCTCGCCTCTCGATTGTATCCGTGTAAAATCATCTTGGGGGCACAACCGCCCCCCGAAACCCCCTTCCGAAGGAGCCTGAGCCGCCTTCCAGTGGGGCACAGGGGCGGTTCCCGGGGGGAATCCTCGGGGTTTGGGTCGGTTGGTGTCTGGGGTCTGTCCCGGGAGGTGACACTGGTTTCCTCTCTCCCCCCCAGATCCCAGCTCTGGGGCAGGATGGGGTCCTGCAGGCGCTGGTGCTTGGAGAGGGGCAGTGCTCGGACCCTGGTGAGCTTCTCCTGCTTCTCTTGGATCAATCCCTGTGTTTCCTGGTGGGAAGGTCACCGGGGGGGCTGGGAAGGGCCCCAGGGATCCAGCGGGGAGGTCTCAATCAAATCCATTTAGTCCCAGCTTGTTCCCCAAGACCACCCAAGATAAACCTTGCAGTTGGGATTTTCCCTGGAAAAGGGGAAATCCAACTCCAGGATGTGCTGGGGGGTGTTGGGGGAAGGGAGCAAATCCCCCATCCCGTGTCTCCCACCCGGATCTGACCCTTGTGCTCCTCCCCTCGGGCAGGGATCAGCGAGGAGCAGCTCCGGGCCCAGGAGGAGTGGGAGGCTCTGGAAGAGATCCAGTCAGGTACTGGGAACAACGGGGGCCTGGCAGCTGGAAAGGTCTGGGGAGGAGGGCAGGACCTGGATCCCGGAGGGCAGGATGGGTAGGGGAGCACCTGGGGGGGTTATTTGGGGGTGGAGGGGCGGGAGGGGGTAGGAGACTCCCTGTTTTACCCCTGTTCCCCATGGCTCCACCCTCCTGGGGATCACTCTGGGGGGTCAAGAGTCACTGGGGGTTCAAGGGTCACCGTCAGCGGGAGCAGGGGTCACTGGGGGCCATGGGGTCAGGTGGGGGGAGTGCTAACCCCTCCCTCTCTCCCTACAGAGGTGAGGGGGTGCACCGTCGCCCTGTGCCCTCCCCGCGATTTCCCTTCGCAGACAGGCCGCTGCAGCAGCTATCCAGATCATCTGGGCTCTCCAGAGCGGGTACAGCGCCCGGGGGCAGGGCAGGAATTAGGGCTGGGGGGCACCCAGCCCCCCTCCCCCCGGGGGCTCAGCCCTAACGGGTCTGGGGTCTCTCCCGCAGAGGAAGGTCCGGGGGCCAGGGCGCCGGGGGGGCCTGTCCGTGCTGCTGCGCTGCCTCGGGGGGCCCCCCCGGCTCCGGCCGCAGCTCCGGGGGGAGCGGGAGCTGGTGCTGGCCATGGCACAGTGTGAGTGGCCCCGGGTCCCCTCTGCTCCCGGCTCTGGGGAGCGCTGGATGGGAATCCCCCAGTCCCTCAGCATGGGGGGGTCATGTCTGCCCATCCCAGGGGGTCCCACACAGGGAAACCTTGGGACTGTGGGTTTGGGGGCTGAGGGGCCATTTTAGGGCACCAAGGGGGTTTTGAAGGTGCCAGGTGGTATTAGGTGCCGGGGGGGCATTTTTGAGGGGGCTGTGGTTGGGTTTTGGGCACCAAAGGGCATTTTTTGGGCACTGTGGGATTTCTTAGGGTGTAGGGGGTGTTTTTGGGGCACCTGGGGGTGTTTTTAGCTGCTGCAGGGTGTTGTTTGGGTGCCAAGATGCATCTTTTGGGTGCTGAGGGCTGAGTTTTGGGTAGCCAGGGGGTGTTTTTTCGGAGCCAAGGGGCGTCTCTTGGAGAGCTGTGGGTATTTTTAAGGTGGTTTTGGGCTCTGGGGTGGGTTTTTGGAGGATGTGCTGTTGTTTGAGGCGCTGAGGGGCGTTTTGGGGGCAGCGGGAGTGTTTTTGGGGTGCCGAGGGCTGGTTTTGGGTGCCGGGGGGTGTTTTTTAGATCCCAGGGGTGTTTTTAGCCACGTGGGGCGTTCCCTCCCCCCGGGGTGTCCCTCCCTCCCCCCTGCCAGGCGCCCTGGATGACTCGGAGTGGGTGCACATGCGGATCCTCCAGACCATCTACCGGCAGCTGACGCGCTCCCGCCGCGGCTGCCCCCGCTATGGGACACACTGGGAGGAGCTGGGATTCCAGGGTAGGACTGGCAACGAGCTCTGGCCATTCCCAAACTCCACCTGAACCTCCCCTGGAGCAGCTCTGTCCTATCCCAGCTCCCTCAGCCACTCCCTGTCCTCCAGCCCCATCTCCATTGCCCTTCCCTGGACACGCTCCAGCACCTCAGTGTCCTTCTTGGACCCCAAAATTCATCCCAGGATTTGAGGTGCAGCCTCACCCCAATCCTCACACTCCTCTCCATACACCTACAAAATTCCCAAGGGCACCCTCAATCCCTTTATTCATAAAGATAGTAAGTCAAACTGGCCCCAGTACAACTGGACTGCTTGGCCAGGTCATCCCAGTACCATGTGCCTAAAAAAGCTGGTAATTCCTGGAAAAGTGTGGGAGCAGGAGTGTATCAGGGGGAGCAGGGTTGGTTAATGCCCAGGTGAGTGAGGTGGTGGCCCCATTAGAGACATTCCCTGGAAGCTTTTCCTCCAGAAAGGGAATCCCCAGGATTCCTGTACCCTGGAAGTGCAGTGACAGGGAATAAACAGCCCATGGAATGGGAAGGTGACAGGGAGTGACTCCATGCTGTCCCTGCCCCCCCAGGTGTGGATCCTGGGACCGACCTGCGTGGGACAGGAATGCTGGGGCTGATGCAGATCCTGTTCTTCGTCCTGGACTCCCGAACATTGTCGCTGGCCAGGGAGATCTTCCAGCTCTCCCAGCATGAAACCCAGGCATGGCCTTCCCCCTCCTCCCTGCAGGGGGATCTCCCTTGGAATTCCCAGTTCTCCGGGAAAGGGAAGAACAAGAACCTCTCCAGGGATTTTTTTGGGATGCTGAACCACCTCAGGCTGGTGAGGGGAGGAAGGTGGTGCCCAAAGAGCCCTGATCCAGGCTGGAGCTGAGCTCCAGGTACTGGATTTGTGCTGGGAATGGGATTTTAAAGATTCGATCCTGGCTTAGAGTAGGATAAAAGGGCTGGAGAGTTGGGCAACAGGAAAATGGAAGTGAGTGGAGCCTGTCTCCTTAAATTCCACATTTTAGTCCAGGTTTAAGCCTGGGATACAAGCTCGGCTCAACCGTCAGCATCCATCTGAGCCTGGATCCATAGAGCTGTTATCCCAGTACGTGGGTCTGTCACCCATCCCGTGGGTTTGGGGCCACACAGATCTGGTGTCAAAGGGTTGGAGGTGCCAGAGGGGAGGAGGGTTTTCCATCTGAGCTGCAATAACGCCGGAATTCTGGTTCTCTTGCAGAATTTTCCCTTCTGCATCATGTCCGTGAACATCACCCGGATCGTCGTCCAGGCGCTGCGGGAGGAGCGGCTCTCCCGGTGAGGGGGGGCTGCTCTGGGCTCTCAAACCACATCCAGGGCCCCTCCTGGCATGTGGCCAAGCCCCTCTCCCTGTTTTCCAGGGAATGTAACCGCCGGCAGCAGGTCATTGGGGTGCTGAACGACCTCTATGCCGCTGCCTTCCTGCGGCTCTTCCGCCTCTGGAAGCGGCAGTGCGGGACTGTCGCCGACGCCGGGTCCTTCCTCAAGGGTTTGTCTTCCCGGCTTTTCCTTCTCCTTATTTTCCCTGGGAAAACAACCCCAGGACAACCTGAAGACCCCCCGCTGTGTTCTCAGCGCATCCAAGCCCAGTTCCAAGGGCTGTAATGCCCAAGAAGCCCAAACATTCCTCATTTAATCCTCACACTGAGGTTTTCCACAATATTTCCCTATCCCAGTGCTCCAAGGGGTTTTTCCTCTCCCCCATTTTCCATTTCAGAGGGATGCTGTGCCAGGGTGGCTTGGGGTGGGTGACATGTGGGGACGTTCCCTTCTCCCCAGGCTCACACAGAGCCATAGTTTAACCCCAGTCCATGAGTTATTTATTCCAGAGGGGATTGGTGTCCACAGAGCTAATGGATCCCCTGGAAATGGGGATCCACCTGGCACTGCTGAGTTCCGGCTTTGTCCCATCTTCCCTGGATTCCAGTCCCAGGGGGTCAGGCTGGTGCTGAGCTGGGGGTGGAGAGGAGCTTCCCATGCTCCCTCATCCCAAGGAAAACACGATTACACCCTTTCCAAGGGAAAACATTGGGATGCTGGGTCTGTTGGGCGTCTGACACCATCCAGGTGTTGTTCCCCTCAAACTTTTTCCCCTCTGATCCTTCCAGAGCTGGAATTATCCACCAAAAAGAAGCCAAGGCAGTTGCTGAGGTCCCTGGAAGCCTATGTGAGCCACAGCCTTCGGCCTTCCTCCCCTCCCTCCTCTTCCTCCCAGATCCACTTCACTGGCATCTGTGACCCTGTGGTCGAGCTGGAGGGAGATTCCCGACTGATCTGACATGGAGCAGGATGCTGCACAGGGAATTCTGATGGTGGATCAGCCCTTGGAGGGGGACACACCAGTGTCTCCCCTGGTTTGGGGGCTCGGGAAGGGCCAGGAGAGGTCACAGAGCCAGGATTCACCTGCTCCAGGTGGAAATCTCTGGAAGTGAAGGAGGAAAAGGCAGTGGAAGGGGGGAGATTCCATGAACCCCCCAGCCTGGCACTGGGATAGTCCCTCCAATGAGTGCAGGGTTCCCGCTGTCCTTACCTTCCCCAGGTGGAGCTGAGGGTGGTGCCAGGCTCCTGGATCCTATCCCAGCTCCAGCAGCACCCGGGGTGAGGGTAACCCCCCCTTTGGGCTGTGGAGGCTTCACTGGGGGCTGGGGGGGGAGCAGGACCGGGGGGACGGTGTGGCCCCCCCAGCTGGGGACCCCCAGGGTCACCATGGGGTGTCAGCACCCAAAGAAGTTACTAAAGGGGGGGAAATGAGTGTTTTGGTGGAAGAGTTTTGGATTTGGATTTGCTGCTGGATTCTGTGGGATCCAGAGGGGGATGGTGAAGCAGGAGTGCCTGGAGCCCAATTTGGGGTGAAATAGGGGTGAAAAAGGTGCTGTAAAGGAGAGAAATGAGGGTTGAGAGCTGCAGGGAGGAGTGTTATCCCCTCTGGGAGCAGCTCTGTGCCAGTGCTTGGGAATGTCCCCAAACCCCTCAAAATGGGGAAAATTCCCCAAAGCCCAAGTGTGGAGAGAAATGAGGGCTTTGGGGGAGAGAAGTGGGGGCTGGTGGGAGAATGGAGCATCATGGCCCCCAAGCCCCCCAAAGGACAACTATTCCTGGGGGCTGGGAATGCTGCTGAATGGAAAAACATCCAATAAATGGGCAAAAAGGAGCCCAGAATTAGGGATTTGCCTTCCTGATTCTGAATTATTGTGGGAATTGGGATGGGGGGGAACCCTTTGGGGGTGTTTTGGGGCAGGGGTGAGGTGAGGCTCTCACAGACCTGGGCTTGGTGAGGCTGGGGGGGAAGGCAGGTAGTGGGGAAGGGATGGGGGTGCCAGGAAGGGGTGGTGGTGGGGGAAATGTAGGTGGGATGCAGGGACCGGGAAGGGATGTGGGTGCTGGGAAGGGACGTGGGTACCAGGGGGGAATGCAGGTACTGTGGAAGGGATGTGGGTGCTGGGGGAGGTGCCAGGGAGGGTTGCAGGTACTGGGAAGGGATGCAGGAGCAGGGGGTTGGGGGTGGGATGCAAGGTACCAGGGAGGGATGTGGGTATCGGGGGATGCAGATACCAGGAAAGGGTCCCAATTCCCTGGGAGGTTGCAGGTGCTGGGGGGCAGGAGCAGAGCCCGGAGCGGGACCTGCCGGGGCTGATCCCCGTCTGTCCCCTGGTGCCACCCAGTTCCGCTCCAGGGCCAGGGCTCAGCACCCCCAACCTGCTCCTCACTCCTAAAACCCCACGGAGACCGGAGACAACAGGACTGGCAGTGACAGGGACACTGGGACAGACACCGACACTGGGACAGCAGTGACAGGGACACTGGGACAGGGACCAGCACCTGCACCAACAGTAACAGCAGAGTCAGGAGTGACAGTGACACCAACAACGGCACTGGCACCGACGGTGGCAGCAGCACTGGGATGGGCAGTGCCAGTGACCCCGGGATGGGCACCAGCAGCAGCAGGAATGGGCTGTGAGGTGGGGGCTGGGCAGCAGGGGTGCAGGCAGAGGTGTAGGCAGGGTACAGGCAGGGCATGGGCAGCACAAAGGACTGTGGGCAGGGGTATGGGCAGGACAGCACCAGTAGGGCCCAGCGGGCAGGGAGCAGGGGGCTGCAGGCAGGGACCACAGGCAGGGCCATCAGACAGCATGTCGAGGGTCCCCCTCCTCCACTGCCCCACACGCCCTGTCCCCCTGCACCCCAGGCCACCCCTTAGTGCTGCCCCCTGCCCCCAGAGCCAGCAGGTCCATGGGGAGCCCCAGGGGCAAGTACTCAGTCCAAGTCACAGCTGCATCAGTGCCACTGTCACCATCCTCATCCTCATCACCATCCTTGTCCTTGTCACCATCCCCATGCTGGTGGTCCTGGTCATGCTGTGAGTGCCCTGAAACCACCTTGGTGGCCACTGTCATTGTCCTCTTCTCCTCAGCCAACGTGGTTGTGGGCTGCTGGTCCTTTGGGAGGACACAGTGTGAGGGGACCCTGGCCTTGGATGGGCTCTTTCTGCTCGGACCCCCTGACTTCCAGGGACTCCCCGGCCACCGCAGACCTGAGGCCTCCATGAACCCTGCAGACCCCCTGGGCACCATAGACCCTCAGTCTGGGGGGATTTGAAGCCCCATGAGGTGATGAAGGAGTGATTTCTAGGCTGTCAGCCAACCCCACATATCACAAGCAGCTCTACAGGGGAGCAAACAAGGACAATTGTCCTCAGGAACCCTCCCGTGGTGAGCGGGGACCCCGAAGTGCTGATTGGACCATCTCCCAGGGAAGTCTGTGCTTCCCTGGGGCCTGGGTAAGGAACATTCCTGGTCTGGTCTGGTCTGGCTGGCTGACTGTCGCCCTCCAGGAGTTGTCCAGGTTGACAGTGATGAGACTGAAGGGAGAAGCCCAAGGACACTTATAGGGACTTTAGGGCATGGGGGCAGCTGGCCAAAGGAGGAGGTGCCCAGCTTGTGCTCTCAGCTCCCCCAGCACCAGGGCAAGTACTGAGAGGGGCAGGAAAACTGCCCTGATGGATCCATGGCAGAGGCTGCTGCCATGGGCGGCATTTGGCGGTTTGACCCTGGGGTGGTTTAGGTGGCCCTGGACCTGCTGGGAACAGGCTCCACCTGTCCCGGGGGGGAAAAGGTTCTGGGCCATGAGCGGGTGGAGCTGATTGAAGGGACTTTTCACCAGGTTTGGAGGGGAAAGAGGATAAGCCCAGGCTGGGCAGAGATGAGCCTGGGGGCATCAGGCTGGTGTTGGGGGTGAGAGTCCAGCTCAAGAGCAGCTGCACCACGTGCAGGAGCCACGGAGCAGCAGGAGAGCTCTGAGGTAGCTGCCATCACAGAAGGGTAGGGGGATGATGGGCATGACCTCAGTGCTGCCCTGGATGGCTCTGAGCTCCTCAGAAGGAGGTGCTGGGGTGGCTCGGCAGGTCAGGGGGTGCTTCTGCTGTGCTGAAATCATGAGATGAAGGTGACAGGGCTGTGGGCAAAGATCGGGGAAGGGCTGCAGGGTGGGTGTCCCGGGGGAGGCTGGTGGACCCCACCCAGGTGGGACGAACAGGTAGAGGATCTGCTCTGCAGGAGCCTCAAGGTCACCAGCCCTTGAACTCCTGGGGGACTTGGACCTGCTGGAACCCCCCCGAGGGAAGAGGAGACGGCCCAGGAGGTACCAGAGGGTGTGGAAGAGAACTGACACAGCTGGTGAGGGAACCAACCAGGGCAGTGCCTCACTTTCCTAAATAACTTTTCTAATTAATTGTTTTAATTAATCATCAGCAGTGTAATTTTTCACTTTAGCAAGGGGTTTTTTAAAGCTGCAATTGTTAGAAACTAGTCTGGGAAAATCACTGAGACTTAAAGTTTTGCTAAACCAACTTCGACATGCCTCAATGAACAAAGCCTGGGAGAGAGAGATAAGTTGCTGAGAACTGGATACCAGGAATTCAAAATTTATAGGCTACAAGAAAGAACATGTTGCAGAAACTACAGATAAAGAAGAAATTAACAAAGAGAACTCAGAATCAGTCTGCTGAAACGCTCCCTATCTGGGAAAAAGATAATAAAAAGACTGAAAATGTGGACTAATTAGCATGAGAAGTGAGAAAGTAATAATCAATAGAATATACAATATTACTTATTTAAGGGAATTATGTAACATAACCAATGAACATTAATTTCTTTGCTAAAAATGTATAAATAATGAAAAGTTTTGAAAGTGGGTGGGCATGTTGAGTGGAACTATCCCCACGCACCCCAACACTGTGACTAAACTAATGCCTGCTTTCTAATACTAAAAAAATAGCGTTAGAGAGTTTGATTTATCCCAGTGTTTTTACTGAAAACTGGACCTGCTGTTAGTGAGCAGAGAAGGGCTGGGGGGAAATGTGCTGGTTGGAGCTGTCTTGGGCACCACCACCAGAAATGATGGAATTTTCCATCCCAGGTGAGGGAAGGAGAGACAGAACCTCCCCCCCACCCCCCGGGATCAATAAATCCACGAGGCATCAGGTCCCTGGGCCCATTTATGACTCTGGGGCGGGGGGTTACAACTGGGTGAACTGGTGAATGAAGGCTCTCAACTTCTCCCGGTTGGAAGCAGACTGGAAAGGCTGGGAGAGCTGGAGGAGGGGTCCAGTGGGGGTCTGCAGCTCCTCCAGCACCTGGGGGGGCACAGGGAGGTCAGGGGGGGCAGCAGGATGTTGGGGGGCTGGGGGGTGGCTGTGCTTACCCCCATGTCCTTGAAGCTCTGCAGGGAGCTCAGGGCCAGGCTCCTGTCAGGATACCCTGTGGGGAGAGAAGTCCCGAGGGAACCCCCAAATCCCACCCCACGGGCACCCCCAGCCCAGTCTAGGGGGGCAGTGACCCCCAAAAGCAAGACCCCGCCCCCCTCGACTCACCATCCTCATCCTCATCCAGGAATTCCAGCAGCGCCTCCACGTAGTCTGCCTCTGGAATTGGGAGGGGTGTCAGATCCCAGCTCCTGGGGGGCTCCAGCCCCCCCAGGGTCCCCAGGGGTTCCCCACTCTGGAGGGTCCTACCGGGCTGGGGCCAGGGGGGTCTCTCCAGGAATTCCACAGCCCGGCCGTAGCTCCGCAGGACGGGGCTCAGGAGGCGGCAGAGGAAGAGGAGGAAGCCGGGGAAGCCCTGGGGCTCGCTGAGCTGGGGGGACACACAGCTGGATTTGGGGGACACCCCCTCACCCCAGCCCAGGGGGCGGTGGGGGACCCCAGTACCTTGTAGCAGCGCTTGGGGACCCTGTCGTCGCTGTCACTGTCGCTGTCATCGGTGAAGTCCCAGCAGGAATGGCCCCGGGACGAGGGTCGGGGGGCCACGTCGCAGCCCCTGCACTCGCTCTCAGGCTGGGGGGACAGTGGGCTCTCACCTCACCTCAAAGCCACCCTGAGCCCCAGCAGGGACCCGTGTGTGTGCCAGGAGGGCTCCTGGGGTGACACCCACCTCCTCCTCCTCCAGCAGCCCCCCAAGGACGAGCTTGTCCAGGATGTCCAGGCTGTGGCGCTCGGGAGGCTGGCAGGGCTGGGGACACAGGAGAGGGGTGACAGGCCACCCGTGTCCCCACCTGCAGCCCCAGCAGGGGGGGGTGACAGGCCA